TGGTGTATATATTATTAGTAACAGTGCATTTGTACAGTATTCTAGGAGAATGGATCTAATTATTTTTGTGTGGGATGACATCATTGGGTAATGATGGGTGTGGTTTGTCTCAAAAATTACAACTTCTCATCTTTCATGACTTTCTCTCTTCCATGTTTGTCTTTGATGAAGAGATTCCAAATGAACCATTAGCTCAATGTCTTTAGCAGCACCAGCTGTAGCAGTAGCAAGTGGGTGGAGTTAATTCTGGTTCTCTGTTACCCACTCCACAGACCAGTCTACTGGGAACACCACAAATGGTATTTATTGAGTTCATTAATAATGATTTATGATTCTCCTTTGATACGTATACATGTTCTTATGTTGTGTAGAAAGTTTGGGCTCATTCCGATCAAAATTAAATTTTTTATGAATTTTTAAAGTTGCTCCAACATTGGGCCTGATTAAGTCCCCGTACTATAGTACCAGTACATGGTCTGGACCAAATTTCAATGAAAATTGAAAGGAAGAAAAATTTCTATTTTTATTACATTTTCTAATGTTCTTATGCTGTGTAGCAAGTTGGAGCTGATTCCAAGTTCAATTTTTCAAGTTATGGCCATTTTAAGAAAACACCAAAAATCCAAAAAATACCCAAGGCTATAGCCCATGGTTTTTCCCAAAAAATGGCTCCAAAATCACCTCAAATTTTTATTACATTTTTTGATACATATTATTGTCCTTATGCTGTGTAGAAAGTTTTAGTTGATTCCGATAGGAAATTTTTGAGTTATGACCATTTTTAAAAACAGGCCAATATTTAAAAATTAGTTAAAGTACCCAAGGCTATAGCCCATGGTTTTTTCCAAAAAATGGCTCCAAAATGACCGCCAATTTTTATTACATGTTTTGATTGATGTCCTTATGCTATGTAGCAAGTTTGAGCTGATTTGGGCAAAAATTTCACTCTTACCACTCACATCGGTCTTCCTATCATCACTGGTAACCATAGCAACATATTGACTGTCATTGTGTTTATAGGTCACCTGATAGAGATAGGAGGAGACACTCACGATCAAGAAGCCATTCAAGATCTCATTTACCAAGAAGGAAATCATCATCAAGGTAGAATGAATGCTTTTTTTATTATTTATTTTTTATTATTTCAGACGTAAGGATAGAGTGAGGGATTATTCCTACAGTCCTAGTCCAGAGAGGAGGAGGAGTAGTAAGAAATCTAAAAAAGACAAAAAACACAAGAGAAGGTCTCCCTCTGTCTCTCCCTCAGTCTCTCCTCCTCCACGTAAAAGTAAATGGAATTAATTAATTTTGTTGAATATCTATTAATATTACTATTACTGCTATTAGATCTAAACCAACAAGATCAGAAAAGAAAACACAATATTAGTCAAAGTGTACACTGCTACATGCTAAACATGTCTTTCAAGCATTCATGCCTTCATTTTGACCAAAAATTGTGTCAACAGTGGAGTATGGTTTATCTATCTAATTATCTGTTCACTATAGTCTCGCACACATGATACTACTGACCACACACACTTCATCCTTCCCATCTTTTGGCAGTATACCCATCTCTCCATATCTATTGTGTAACTTGACAGATTTGTTCCCTTTGTTATGTTTTAGATTTTTCAAACACAATGTAATGTTCTTTGTAATGTTCAAAACTTTGTTTGAAAATGACAATATCACTGCATTTTAATGTTCACAAAAATAGTGAATTTTGAATGCCAGTACATTTGTCATCTTCCTACTACTTGATGACTATTATATTTATTATTATTTTATTTTATTCTTTAGGAGGTGGCTCTGATAAAGGTGAAGGAGAGGAGGAGGAGATGGAGGAAGAGAAAGAGTTCTTTGATGGAAGTGCTCCTTCTGAGGAGGAGAGACAATCAAGTCCTTCAGCATCAGAATAGAACCGTTAATGGTTGATTTCTTTTAACCAATAGATCAGAAAAATAGTGTGATAATTAATATGTATGGAAAAAATGTTTTTCAAGTATTTGCACCTTTAATTTTGACCAAAAATGATATCAATAGTGGAGTAGAGATTATATATCTTTCTTATCATTAGACCTATCTACACCAATCTTAATACTTCCCATTAATGATTTCATTGAGGAGGAGACAATCCCATGGATTATCACCACTTGTTATAACAGCTGTGCAATAATAGTCCTACACAAAGGACCTGTCACAGAAAAATCTGTCCCACCCAAATTTTGTCCCATGAGACAAAATATTTTATCCTAGGACAAAATCTTTCAGGAATATTTTGTCCTAGGACAAAATTTTTCAGAAATATTTTGTCCTAGGCAAGCTTTTATTGTCCTACCATAGGACTAATTTTTTTGTCCTAGGACAAAATAATATATGAAATATTTTTGTCCTAGGACAAATTGTATCTGAAATGTTTTATCCTAGGATCATAATATTATGCATATATAGACTATTTTGATAAGGAAAATTTACTTAGCACTCAGTATTAATAATAATAATAATAATACATTTCATTATCACACAATAATTGTCTTCATGCAACTTTTACAACAATTACATGACCAAACGTAGTCCTTATCAGTCCAAACATCTTCTGGTATTTGTTCACACTCAACGTGATACCACTCCTTACATTAAGAGCATTTTACCATTCTTCCTTCATTACTATAGGTTGTCTACACAGGCAGTATATAGGTAACCTGTATTCTTTGGATAGTCCGGGTATCTAGCTCTTAAACAGTAGAAAACAAAGACATCACATTCTTTTCTAAGCATTATAAAAGATGGAAACGAAGCTTATGTGAAATATAGCTGCAAGAAGTTGGGTCTTAACCAGCACAAATTGACATTGCTAAAGCAAGGGCACATAAACCACAATCTTATTGTCCATTTTGCCTTAATTTGCATACTAGGAACAGTCACTTTAATTCCCTGTACTCGGTGCATTTCGGTATTGCTGCTATCTGCTCCCTGGTACGTTTATCAATACCATAGCTGGGCAAGCTATCATATATCAGTTTGTTATAATTGATGCTTTGATTTAATTATTCAAATCATGAATACAGATGCATATACATACTGAGTTTGTCTACAAAAGCACAGATATCATACTACGTACATACATATATACACATAACTAACTAAACTATTTAAAATACACAAAACACCTACACTATCATGATATAGTTGACCATTCAGTCATACAAAAAAAAATTGCTGACGCGGACATAAAATATCACGTGATATTTCTATCCTAGGATAAATTTTCACGGGGGACAATTTTTTTCGTGACAGACCTATTGTTCCTCTACTTATCTGCAGTTTCCATTGTGAAAGCTCGACCTTCATTGCTGTGAGCTTTACTGCTCTTCAGCCATGATTGATTTGTGTCAGTGGAGAGCTAGAATAGGATCATGGAACTCTTCCCGCCATTGGAGACAACCCAGTGCTTCTACTACCACTGGTAGCAGCTACTGCGGAACTAGTGCTGGTAATACTTCCGCACAAGTGAAGACCCGGCCTGGACTCATTTTGTATATTTTTTGTCTTCTTATCCTCCTCTTCATATCAGGAGATGTGGAACTTAATCCTGGACCCACTCTTACAGGTAAAGGGCTGATTTATAAATTATTACGATTTATATATTCTATTATAGATAAGCCAACAAAAGATGAGTTGGTTGAGTTATTGAGTAGCTCAAAGTTTACTGCTGGTACTTGGGAACAGTTTGTCTGTTGTCTTCCTAACATGACACAAGAAGTCATTTGTAACATTAAGCAGAAAGAGGAAGTGGATGATGCTGAACCTTTTGATAGCGTTAGTGCTGTAGCTCAACGTTGCCTGGATGATAATCCTGAAATAACATGGAAAATAATTGTGATGTCACTTTTAGATGCAAAAGAATGCATCTTAACTAAGCAAGTTTTGACTGACATTGAATGTACATGTGTTGGAAAGAAAGGTCAGTTTTACAATAATTGATGCACATTTATCATTTATTTCTTAAATAGGGACAAAAGTGGATGCCACTGTAACAGTTGAGACTACATTGAGAAAGCATTTTGCCTCTTTATTTTATGCTACTCAAGGTTGCTTAGAATCTGTTACTGTTGAATTTTTTTCTAAGGGTCTTATTAGCAGAGATGTTCGAAAATCACCTTCTTTTTATAACATTGAAAATGAATTTGTAGCATTATCTTCTTGCGAAGAAGATATGACCAAATTAGAGAAGAAATGTCATAATTTTGTATATTGCCTTGCTAAAGCAGGTGGTCCAGCTAAAGATGCAGCCATCGCACTAGCTGAAGATTGGGAACGTGAAATAATGAGTAAGCATAGTCTGAAATGGTCTCTGATAGTTGACATTGAAACTGATACTGATTTATCTATCCCTTCAGAAATTTTGCTTAGCTCTGAAGTGCCTCAAAAAGTGCAATATCTTCATAAGAAATTCCTTTCAGTGATGAAATACATCAGAACTTACTATGATGAATGCAAGGAGTATAAAATTAAAGATTTTGCTCGATATTTAATGGATGATTACGAAGAGCCTCTCACAAAAGAGCCTTTAACAAATTGTGAAAGTTTCGATATTCTACTTCATTCAGTTAAAACTCATTACAGTTTTTTTAATTTTGATTTAATCGAAGACCTTGCAAAAGAATTCCCTCTGAGTGATGAGTTACAGTTGGAGCTTGACCAGTACGTGCAAGAATTGGAACAGTTTAAGAAATCAACTGCACTACAACAAATGAAGGATGCAATAAAGCAAGTACCTTTACCACATGAAGCCTCAGAGGCACAATTTAAAATTGTCATAAAGTTAACTGGGAGTTGGCGTAAAAAAACAGTTAAAAGTCTTGAAAACCTCATTCAATACCTATTTGAACGTGATTCTAAGCGCGCTAAACTGATTGAAATTGATGAAGGATCAATTGTTATTACATTTCTGGCTCTTTCAACATCACAATCTCTTATTGATAAAGTACAGAATAAAAGTCAGTTCATCCAGTATCTTGGTATATTTGAAATAATCATTAACGATGACATTGTCATTGATAGAGAGGAAGATGTTAACTTTACATTCGAAGACTCACTTTTACATGCCATCAGTCACATTGACAGTGATGCAGAATATGAGAAAGTGGCACTGCTTCTGATAGAACTTAAAATAGAACTAAATTACCAGAACACTAATGGCAAGACTGCACTAATATTAGCTAGTCAAGGTGGACATATCGAAATTTTCAAATCATTACTACAAAATGGTGCTAATCCATTTGTACAACTACCAGCTAATGAAGGATACATTGGATTGAACCATTTAGCATGTATCATTCTTTCTCAACATATATACAAATCAATTGGAGGAGAAAAAATAATACCACAAGATGACACTTCAGTTGGAGAAATGCTGGAAATAGCTGTTAAAGAAAGAGGAGTGAGTAGTCATTTTTATGAATCATTCGTAAGTCTTATTGAAAATAATTTAAAGGAAAAGTTTCAATGGCTGCAAGATTGCTTTAATGCATTAAATAGTAGCTTTCTTGATGCTGCCACCAATATTTTGACCAGCAAAGCTTTAGTAACAGAAGCAAAACAAAAGTTTTGGTCATATATAAAAAAAGATGCTACTTGTGAAAATGCTCATCAACTCCTTGAGTTGCTCCAGCCTCATTACTCGTGTTTAAACATTAACCTTCTCACAATACCATGTACTATCACAGAACCTATCAAGGAACAGGTAGAAGAATACAATACTAACCTGAAGATGTTCAAAGATACCACTAGCCTACTGGAGCTAGCTATGATGACTAAAGGAATGCATTGTCCTGATGATGTTGGCTGTTCTAAATTAATATTAAGACTGAACAAGCCATGGTGCTCCAAAACTATTGCTGAATTAAATAAAATGGAAGCTTTTTACTTATCACCCATTTCATGCTTTTTATCTCTTCAAGAAATTCCTTCCAGCCTTACATGTATATATCTAATACCTCAATTACAAACTGAAATATTAATTGAAGCAGTTATTGAACAGGGAGAATCTCTTTATAATATTGGTTTATTTGAGGCTAGGATTAATGATCTTATTTTAATGATCGAAGCTGAAGATGAGTCATTTACATTTAAGGCTGCATTGCAGGAAGCACATGAAAGTAACAATGAAAATGTTTTATTTTTTCTACTGGAACTTAGCACTAGTTTACCCCTTGAAAATGATGACACTGCAGACCTCATGATTGCTAGTAGTACAGGAGATTTTTTGACTGTTCAATCCATACTCAGTAAAAATTTTGATATTAACATTCAAACTAATAATGGATTGACTGCTTTGATCCTTGCTTGTGACAATGGACATCACCAGGTTGTTGAACTCTTACTGAGTAATGATCCAGATATTAACATTCAAAATACTCTTGGATGGACTGCTTTGATGTATGCTAGTCGCAGAGGACATCAAAAGGTTGTTGAACTATTACTGAGTAAAGATCCAGATGTTAATATTCAAAATAATGAAGGAGTGACTGCTTTAATGCATGCCAGCTACAATGGACATCATCAGGTTGTTGAACTCTTACTGGGTGAAGACCCAGATATTAACATTCAAAGTAAAATAGGAACTGCTTTGATGTTTGCTAGTCACAATGGACATCACCAGGCTGTGGAACTCTTACTGAGTAAAGATTCAGATGTTAACATTCAAAATAATCATGGAATGACTGCTTTGATGTATGCTTGTGACAATGGACATTACAAGGTTGTTGAACATTTACTGAGTAAAGATCCAGATATTAACATTCAAAATAATGATGGTTGGACTGCTTTGATTCTTGCTAATCGCTATGGTCATCACCAGGTTGTTGAACTATTGCTGAGTAAAGATCCAGATATTAACATTCAAAATAATGATGGA